AGGGAGGGAGGGAGGGAGGGAGGGAGGGAGGGAGAGAAGGAGGGATTTCAGTTCTTCCTAAATTCAAAGGGGAAATCTACTATAATGTTCTGTTTTTCATTTACTTTCATGGAGATTAAGTTCAAAAACAAGAGCTGGAATTAACCTGGTGTTTTCACCTGCCTTTCTGCATTCAATACTCTCTCATCTGTAATTAGAAAAATAATCATTATTATCTCTACTTCTTGTCTGGGTGATATCCATGGCAGAAGTAGCACACATTTGTATTGAAATTAAGATATGCTGTGCATCGTTCAGGCAAGGCTTCTTCATGACTGATATAAGAAAAGCACTTCCAACACCATTTCTGATGGATGAATCACCATTCAAGTTGAGACTGACATCTTCTTGAATTTGTTTTATGCTTCAATGAAAGATATTGGAAAGCAGATGTTAATGCAGAATGTTAATGAGGCTACTATTGCTGGTGTTGCCTTGTGTGGTATGCCAGTGTCCTGTTGGTCAAAGGGCTACTCAGATACTTCTGCCAGTCCTTCATAAATATTATCATGCTGGAGACCTTAATATTGCTGGCATTACTTCTCAGAATTATGTGCTTTCACATTCAATAACATTTCACAAAGCTCCCTCTCCTGAACTCTTTGATGATATTATGTAAGATATTATTGGTTTACTTACTTAAATAAAACAATACAAAATACACTATATATTCTTCAACTGGTTATTTTTATACTGTTATTTTGGTGGATTTATACATTGAAATGTCTTGTACAAACTCATTCCTCTCTTACATGGTGAAGGATTCATTTTAAGCTTTAAGGAACATATCAAGATTGGTACTATATGTTTTACATTCTTTTTTAAGAAATATTTTATTGCTAAATCCTTTTTCCATATTCTTTTTGTTTCCCCAAATTAAGGTCTTCTGTGCGGTGAAATTGTTGCACATTCCATAACTACACTCATGAACTGAACAGACTGTTTTAAAAAGCTTAATATTAGAGGTGGTCTTTGTAATGTAATTCATAATAATATATAGGAGCCAATTATAATATTCTCCTTGTGTGTTTTGACATGCTTAGAATGAATAGAAAGTAATTGAGGAATACATTGTCTCAAAGGTGCTTTTTCAACAGGCAACTGGACTTTCTAGTTTTCCTTTGAAGATGTTTTGCTTGTCATCCAAGAAGCTTCTTTAGCTCTGAAAGAAAGAAAGAGCTGAAGAAGCTTCTTGGATGAAAACCAAAAGACCTTCAAAGAAAATCCAGAAAATCCAGTTGCCTCTTGAAAAAGCACCTTTGGGACAACCATGACCTGGATGACTGAAAATCTCCATAGACATAAGTTAGTAGAGCACAGCAGAATTCATGGAAGTTGACAAGCAGTTCTGATTTTTGCAATAAACAAACTCCTTTTTCTATATAATTCAAATGGAGAAAGCTTGGTAGAGTTAATGTTTGAATGATTCTGTATATCACCCAAAGACATGTCTGGATTCTTCTTAATAGAAGAGAACATCTGTGACTCAGGCTATTTTTTGTATTTTTGGTGTTCTCTGAGCTTGGTTGTTTGCTTGCAGATATTTCATTAGTCAATGAGACAATGTCATCATGTTACATTTTAATTTTGGGGATAGATTTTTGTTCTAGCACATCAGCCAGTGATCTTTTGAATCTTACTAGTTCATATATTTGCTATAAAAGAAATCAAGAAATAATCACATTTTAGCAGATTATCACTGTAATTTTTTTTTCAGTGGAGCACAATTAATTCACCAAGCTAAATTCAAATTTTAAAAAGTAACTCATTATGGACATGAAGGTTCCCAACTTATCCCTCCAATGATACTGGTGATGTAGTCAACTTGCACTACAACATATGAATTGTTACACAATTTATATATTTCTTTGTAGGGTATTGACTCAGCATTACCAGCATATTCTGGCACTGGTATTCACTGTGAAAGAAATCAATGAAAACCCACATATTTTGCCAAACATCACTGTGGGATTCCAGATCTATAACAGCCATTTCAGTGCTAGCTGGACTTATCTTGCCACAATGGAACTTCTCTCATCTTGGAAGAGATTGATTCCAAATTACAAGTGTGATAAAAACAATGTAGTTGCAGTCATTGGGGGACCTAATTCAAATGTCTGCCTTCATATGGCCACCATCCTAGGTATCTACAAGGTTCCACAGGTAAGGATTTGTTGAACACTTTTCATTTGCAATTTTCAAATTCTAACATAACAATGTTGGTTTGAATAGTCATCCCTTTTCTATCACTTTTCTGTGATAAAAGATTGCACCTCTGTCCTTTTTATACATGAAAATATTTACATTTCTTGAAGTAATATATAAAATATATGTACATTATGGAAATTTAAATGAAGAAATATGTGTATTAGATAAAAACTTGTGACTTAGAAAATGTTGCAGAAGTTAGTTTTTGGTTTTATCAAAATCAATATTATTGTTTATAATTTTGCTGCTCTTTGGTTCATTTTATTTGGCTACTAATTTAATGGTACTTTTATGTATAACTTTATTTTATATATATATTTTTTTAAAACAAGTTTTATTAATTTTCAAAACACACAAGTCATCATTTTCCATTACATTATATTTTTATTGTCTCTTCTTTTGTTTTACTGCAAGAGTTACCTTGTAAACCTTCAAATAAAATGCCAGGAATGAATGATTTAACAACTAGGATATTAGCTGTCAATGCTGTAGTCTTAGTATATCAGGAATCTGGAATCTAAATGGAATTGTTCAGTTATTAGCTATCCCAAATCAAATGGCAATGATAACAATTCAGAGGGAGTGTAGTTTTGATCTGTTGTGTATTATTTAGGAGAAGGAATTACATATGAACTGTAGGCTGAGAGATTGTAATATATAAAAAGATATGATAGTTTAAAGAAATGGAGAAGGAGAGGTCAGCATTTGATCTCCTTCCATGTAGGTATATTAGAATCAGCATTGAAGTTTAACCAACATACCACTTTCAAAAGCACAAAAATCTGTTTTGAAAATGTGTTCTTTCTTATCAATTCCTTAGCTGTCCTATGGTTCTGCTCCAGTGCTGGATTACAAAAACCAAGATGCTTTTGTCCAACAGATGGTCCCCCAGGGCATCCATCAGTACAATGGGGTTCTTCATTTACTTCTTCATTTTAGATGGACATGGATCGGAGTGCTGTATCTCGATGATGACAATGGGGAGAGATTTGTGCAGAATGTACTTCCATCATTTTCCCAAAGTGGCATCTGCTTTGATTTTATTCAAAGACTACCCAAACAAGGATTTTCTAATGCTATTGAAACCCTTGTGGAAGATGGGATTAAAACATACAAGATCATCAGCAGGAACACTTCTAATGTCTTGGTCATACATGGAGAACTACAAACAATGTCAATTCTTATCCTGCTGCTAGGAATGCCAGAATATCTTGGCATGGACAAATCAAAAGGAAAAGTCTGGATTATGACAGCTCAGATGGATTTTGTGTCTTACTCTTTTAAAAAACCACATGACATAGACTTCATCCATGGTGCTATATCCTTTGCAGTTCACTCAAAGGATGTGTTAGGATTCCAGACTTTTCTTCAGAGCAGAAATCCCACTTCAGAAAAAGAAGATGATTTTCTCCAGATCTTTTGGGAACATGCATTTGACTGTTCTTTACCCAAACCCAACATAGACATCATGTCTGGGAGAACTTGCACAGAGAAGGAGAAACTGGAAAGTCTTCCTGGGACTCTTTTTGAATTGAAGATGACTGGCCACAGCTACAACATCTACAATGCAGTCCACGCTGTAGCACATGCTGCACACTTTATGTATTTATCACAATCCAAACAGAGACAAATAGGAAAAAATGAGCAGCAGCAGAATCTTCTCAGTCAAGTCTCCTGGCAGGTAAAAACAAAATGGGGGGATGGTGCTACAACACAAAACAATCTATCAAAACTATAAACGAAAAAGTGTAAGTTTTGAACCTAAAGACAAAGTCTCTCCTGATTTCATTTAAAAAGAAGGAGTGAACACATTTCTGAATTGTGAATGAAGTTGTTCAGATTGTATAGCTAGCTGTCTTGTGGGGATTTCCCCATGATTTCCCCATGTCATTGAGATATAAAATAGCCTGACAATCAGAACTGAAGAATTAATCTGAGTTTATTAAAGTCAGACTTACAGCTAAGCACAGACTTGGCGACTTTGCATTGTGATTTTGAAAGGGAAAATACATTCTACACTTAATATAACATCACAAATTTATTCTAAGATTAATAAAAGCCATGCTGCTTATAAGATTACAGAGATAATAATTATAAAAGAGGAGGTTACCACATTCAAATGTCCTCTTTTCAGAGAGGAAGACACTTGAGACAATAAGTAGCTTAGTTATCAATGTCTCCTAATTCACTTACATGTTCACATTATAATCAATACTAGACCTATCTGCATGCTAACTCAGTTTATGAAAGACTCACAGTGCATTAGAGGTAAAAAAAATGATTCTGTTTAGAGTAGATTAGCAGTATGATGAAACCAACTGGTCCAAGTCACCAAAATTAAATCTTTGTGTAAATCTTTTAAATAAATTATATCTAATCTACCTTTTTTGTGACAAGAAATTATTATTATTATGGTTTGTCACACACCTAGAGGTTTAGGCAGGATTTGGGATTTTAGTCCATTTATTGAGTCCCTTGCAAGAACCTGGAGGCACATGTGAATGTTTGATGGTGTTAAAGATATTATTATAGGATGTAAGGTGCTAGGAGGAGGAAAAGGACTTTTCTTCCTTTTTCCACTTCCCTCCCTTTTCTTTTCTTTGATTCCATTCTTTGACTTCTGTTTTAAAGTCTCTCATCTCTCAATTCACATGGAAGGGAAGGGAAGGGAAGGAGATGAGGGTAGAGAAAAGAAAGTTGGAAAGGCACAAACTTAAGGAACATCAACCAAGAACAAGACTGAGGAAAGATGCATCAGCTGTTCACAACTAATGAGTTAACATAATACAACATAAAAGTTCAGACAAGCTGAAAGAAAGAAAATTATAACTTGTTGGTGAAAGCCATTTTTTTGCTGAAAAAAAATTATGACAATAATGAAAAACAATAACAGAGCTCTTACCCCTTGTATACTACTTTATGATTTAACTGCCTATTAAAAAAGAGCAAACCAACAAGTTAATAAACTGGAACTGGGACAGCTGATAGTGAAAAGAATAACATTGATCTGAAAATAGATATCTTTTTTTTCAAAAAGTTTTTTATTTTTAACAACAAACAGACAAACAAACATAAAACAACAAGTGAAACCTTCTTTCAATTATACAGTGTGTTGTTTGGTACATATTTCTTGTGCACAATATCTCTTTTCCTCTTAGATTTAGATTTACATTCATATTGCATTAATCAACTCTCCATGTCATATTATATTATTACATCATCATTAGACTTTAATTTCAAATCCACATTAATATTTTGAGCAAACCTCAGTTCTTACTAATTTTAAGACATAAGAATTTATTTGTCATTACACTCGCAAGCGGGTGCAACGAAATGAGGTGCTCTTCCACAAAGTAAAAACTGGACAAACACCACTAAAAAGAAAAAAATTAAACTAAACACAACCAACCATACAATCATCTCTATGCAATTTAAAAATGTAAATACCCCATTACTCTCAGCCATTTAATTCCACAAAAATCTTATGACCCTGCATTCAAACTCAAAACTGCACTTGGATAAAAACTGTTCTTAAATCTGGTCGTCCTTGTTCTTAATACCCTAAATCTCCTTTTCGATGGTAATAGTTCAAAGAGCTGATGTCCTGGATGAGAGGAGTCATTCAATATATTAAGTATATTAAGGAGTCATTCAATATATTAAGTATCTTCCTCTTACGTCTATTCCTATACAGTTAATTCATATTATAATTCATTCCGAAATAATCAATTATAACATATCATTGCTATTGTATTATACTTCAATTTCCTAGTTTTCTATCTAACCATTGGTAAAATAAACCCCATACCTTATAGTACTTTTTTTCTTCTTGCTCTCCAAATGCTAATGTTAATCTACTCATTTCTGCACATTCCATTATTTTCTTAATCACCTCCTCCTCTATTGGAATTTTCTCATTTTTCCAATTTTAAGCAAATAAAATTCTAGCTGCAGTTAACACATTTAATAATCAAGTATGTCAATTCTCTGTTGTAATCTTCAGGTAGAATTCCCAATAAAAATGTGTCTGGTTTTAAATCTATATGCTGTTTTGTTATTTTTTCCAGCCATGAGTGTATTTTAGTCCAGTATCTTTTAGCTTCCACATATGTCCACCACATATGGTAACATGGTCCAGGTGTCAGATGACATTTCCAACACTTCACCGATTTATCCTTGACTATCCTTGCTATTTTTGCTGGGGGTAAATGCCACCTGTAAAACATCTTATACAAATTATCTTTATACGCTGCTGTTAGTTTCTAGTTCATAATTTCTGCCATGTTTCTAGATCTATCCAAAATTTTTCACCCCTATGCAATCATTCTTTAATTTGTTCCTCTTCTAATTTCACTCCTAGTAAATAACCATATAATTTTTAATCATCCTCTTCTCAATACCTGTTAATATTTTATCTAATTTAGTAAGTTATTTGTAAAACCCTTCTGTCTTACTATCTTTATCATATCTAGAAGGTATTTGCACATATGAACACCAATTCATATTTATCTCTTGTTCATCTAATTCTTGCTTTGTTTTGAGTTCACCATTTTCATTTAAAATTTCACTATATCTAACTTTGTTCTATTTTGAAAACAATTGGATACGCAAATGCCTTTATTCTTGATAACCAGACAGGTATTTTCATGTAATGTTGTTTCCTTATTTTCTCCCATGTTGACAATAAAGCATCTTGAATATAATGTTTCCTAAAATACCCATGTACTTTGCTTTCCTTATACCATAAAAATGCATGCCATCCTAATTGTAAATCATGATCTTCCAGTGTTAACAATTTAGTATTTCTCAGAATAATCCATTCTTTCACTCACATCTATATAACTGCCTGACAGTATAATTCCCAATTGGGTAGTCCAACACCTCCTCTCATTCTAGCATCCTGTAACAATTTTAATTTAATTCTTGCCTTCTTTCCCTGCCATATATACTGTAGATTTTCCAATTTTTCCAAATCTGTCACAATCTGTTGTTTTAATCAATAATAATTATCTTCCTTTAGTGTTCCACATCTTGCTGTCAGGAGTATTCCCAAGTATTTCACTTAGATTGTGGTCTGGATATTCAATCTGTCTGTTAGTTCTTTCCTTTGTTTTTCCATCATATTCTTAACTAAAATCTTAGTTTTATATTTATTTATTTTAATCCTGCCGCCTGTCCATATTCTTCAATCTTTTCTATCAATTTAGACGCTGTTTCCAATGGTTCTTCCAATATAAAGACCAGATTATCTGCAAATGCTTGTAATTTATATTCCTCCTTTTTATTTTCATTCCCTTTATTTCTTTGTTTTTCCTACGATTTCTATTTAATACTTCCAAAGTCAATACAAATACCAATGATGACAGAAGACATCCTTGTCTAGTTCCTTTTTTAATATTAATATTATCTGTCTCTCCTTAATTTACATTATTGAAGACTTTTTGCACATCTAAGAACACCAAGGCCAGACTTCCGGTGATGAGGTCACAATGGAGTGGAGCAGGAGAGTGATCTCTGCAATCCTATATCTGAATTGTCATGCTTGGAAGCTCTCAGAGGCATCATGAAGCTTGGAGAGACACACGAATTAGAAGGGCAAGCCTAGGAGCAGAGTGGAGGAAAGCAACCTCCCACTGCAATGAGGGGAAGCCCTTTGAATCCAGCGCAAAAGAAACTTGGCATCAATGGTGGGTCCGAAGCTGTGACAGCCAGCTGTGATCGGGAAGCAGGAAAGTGGATCAACGCTAGACATCAGAAGAAGAACGGCAGACTGGGACAGTTTTTGAGAGGTGAGAGAAGA